CTGCAAAACTTTACAGAGGAGACATTTAATTTGGCTCAAATTTTAAGGGAATTCAGTTCTTTCTTGGCTGGCTCCAAGGTGGAAACATCATGGTGGAAGGGTGTGGTGGAACAAAACTGATTACTTTATGGCAGCTGGGAGCAGAGCAGATGGAAAGTGCCAGAGAGGAAGGAGCAAGGGGGCCAGATTCAGGATCCAACCCACACCTCTAAACCCACCCGGACATACTAGTGTGCTGCACGGGTTGCTCAGGTGGGTCTCCAAGACAATTAAGCTGATATCAACCTAACCACCATAGCGGTTTTGCTACCTTTTTCCCTTACCATTATGTGCTTCTTTACCACAGGCTCAGAGCAGGAATACCAGATGACCAAGGACTAAAAGCTCTAAAACTGTGAGGTAAAAATACTTTTCAATCCTTATAAGTTTATTATCTCAGGTATTTTGTTATAATGATTAAAAGCTGACTGATTCAGACAACACAAAGACCTGGGTTAGCAGACAGTTTCCTGTTTGTTTCCCAAATGCAATACACTGTTACTAAGTCTTTGTGTTTGGAGTAGATCTCAGACTAGTCCATCCTACATATCTACTACTTTTATTAAACAAGTGGACTATTGTTGGTCTTGTTCCGACAAGAAAAGTAACTGTATGAGATGATGGATATTTTACTACACTTCCCTATAATAGCAATTTTATTATGTCTATCTCATCATATATCCTCTCTCTATATAGACACACAGTGAAACTAAACTTACTAAAATATAATAAAAGATACAAATAAATTTCAGTCTGCAAGAATTTTCAAAGGTTTTGAATAATTAATGGAGAAATGTAACATTTTCTCCCTTGCTCCTTGGACTAAACTCTCATTCTGGTAACGGTAATAACCTAAAACACCATGGGATGAACAGATCATCTCTGATGACCTCAGTGACAGATACTTAAAACTAAACTGACAGAGGACACAGGACTAAGAATAACATGTGAATCTGAAAGCAAACAAGGAGAACCAAACAGCTTTTCAGAGGTCTGTATTTAATTGGTCTATATTTAATTGGTCAAAATCTACTCTTCATCTTCATGGACTTTGTCAGGAATGACTATAAAATTAAAAGGCCATTGAAAATTCAAGTATTAAATCATATGAAGGCTGGTGTGTGTGTGTTCAAATGAATGAATATATAGATTTAAGTTGGAAACTGTTCTATTTAGAATGTCAGTGGAATCATGTTAGAATGGACATATTACCTATAGTTTAAACTGTTGATTTGCTTAAATAGAATTTGAAATGAAAGGAAATAGCTAATGCATATGTAGGTTTCTGTGTTTAAGAAGCTTTTATTCATACGTAAAGAATTTGATTAATTAACCCTTCAAATGGATATTTACACAGTGCAGCATTCTTGCCTACCAGTGACCAAACAAAAGTTCAATTCAGTTTTATTAGAGTATTACAAATGTTTCATGTAGATATGGTTCAGAATTTGCATATTGTATTCAGGTCTAATACAGATTTGCATAACAGTTTCAAAGGTAATTTAATAAACACTATCATAGCCTCAGCATATCTTGTTGAGATTTAAGTGAATTGGGAAATAGTTTTATCCAGCATTCATGTTATTAAGTGTTCCTGCAGTGTATTTGTTTTTAATAGAAGGAATTAATTTTGCACTCATTAGTGTTCACTTTTCTAGGTTCATTCTCTTTGGAATGCATTACCTGAATGATTTCAGTCCTAAGACCTCGCTTATGAATGGACTTTTGAGATGATTGTTTTTATTTTACCCAACAAACTGTGGCTATGAATTCATTGAAAATTGCACCTGAGGTAAAAAGAGAGGGAGGGAAAAATCTGGGGGAAGATAATTGACATCTTTAATCTAGCATATTTTGTATATTTGAGAGTTTTGTTTCATGGAAATAAAGTGAGATTAGCTAAGATGTATTGAAACAGATTTCTCATTTTCTTTTTCTCCATTTAAAAATGACCTAATTTACTGGTCTCATTATAAATCCACCTCAGATGTAAATTCTAAAGGAAGTAGGTTACCCCAATAATGGGAAATTACTGCATGCTCTTAATATGCCTTAAAGAAACTATTTATCATGGCTGATTGTAGAATGTGAGAGTTGATGCTGCTACAATATAAAGTGATAACGATTGGTGGGGGTACTGAAAGTGATTAAGAATAAAGACATAAATATAGCTCTTATACCCACCTGAAACAAAAATAACTTAAAATTATTAATGTATGTATGAAACAAATGCATTATTAAAAGGAATTTTTGTATTGAATTAATACACTGACTCTCTAAGAATACTTTATATTTTTGTAATATTTTT